CCTTCTTCACTCCAAGAAATGTTCATCACGGATAGTCCGGGGGATGGTTAATACTCGTCGAATTTCTCCTCGTGATAGCAATAAGTTTCTCAATGAGCCACATTAATTTCATTAGCTCATTTTCGTCTAAACTTCAATTGAATGAACATTTTTTGATGGATACGTTTTATTTTCTATTGGCTTTATCTGATTATTTCAAATCTGCCATGGTGAATTACTGAGCAATACGTTGGAAACCAATCATTCCTCTAGTTTAACATTTAATGAGTGCATTAACATGCTTTTATTGTCATCATTATTTTTATTAGCCTTTTATTTGATTTTATTTTTGATGTAATATTATGTATGTTGCATCAAATATTTCATAATATATCTTTGATAAAATTTCATAATGCACTGATTCAAAAAAAAAACAGTGGCATTCTAATAATGTCAACTTTACAATGCTATTTCAATAGCAGCAAATGATTTTCGGATGTTTTATTTCGATTTCAATTGTTATTCACTCTTCTTTCGTTATCACAAAGCCACACAGAACCCAAAGCCTGTGCATCCGTTCGTAAGGGGACTGTGCACATTGTGGATTGAGACGATAGCGCATGATCACTTCCGACCAGTCCGGGGAGATAAACGATACGTGATCACTTCCGGGGATGTTTATCAGAGGCATTCGGACACTTCTGCCAATTCGCTACCGCACAAAAAGATTATCGCAGACGAGTTCGAAGAGATTGTGCGCCGCTCTTTTCATGCTTCCGTTCCTTTTGATAATATATCATCTGAAATCAGATGTCATTTGGCATTGTTTCACAAATTTTGAGAATTATTTCCACGAAACTTTCGGATTTTTTCACTAATTTGCTGTATCTTCTAATTATCATACTTTCTGTCTTCACATAGTCTTTCATTGCGCGTTTCTTTTTGATCATTTCTTATCAATGCAATTTTCTTTCTTCAATGCATTTTGTATTCGAGAGCAGGTGAAATTGACGANCGAGAATGAATGATTAGGAAAAGATTATAGACAATAAGGCATGAAATAAACACTTAAACGAAAGGGAGATATCAGATAATTCATTCGTTCTTTGGCTCAGTAATTGAGCGGTATTGCAGCTGTTTGCAGTGAATACACCTTGTAGACCTCATCATAACGAAAAGTGCTTCGAAAGAGTTTCACATTCTATTTCCTTTCTGTTTTTTATTACTTTCGGCATTGTTTATTTTAATATAAGTCGCAGTATCCGCCTTGAGAGAACTGAATTAGTGAGAGCTAATATTGAAGAAAAAGTTGTCATAATCGTTAGTGTTTCATGGTATTTGTTCATGTGATATCTATGGTCACTTCCTCTTCTCGGAAGTTGTTATCAAGCAGCATCGTAATTTTGGGTGACGATGATGAATTCGGTGTTTCTGACGGAACAAATTCGATGATATCTAACTATAAGCAGAAATTTGATTGCTGAAATTGAAACATCAGCAGCAGAAAGAGCGGCAGCAAAATCGCCCAATGCATACGTGATTTCGAATACCGAAAAATTCTCGTTTAACAGCAACAATAATGCCGCCATCCATTGTTTTCATTTCATTTGAAAATAAATTTATACAAATAATGTGTAGATGATATAACAATAAATAGTTCACTTCGTTCACTTAATTCAGTTAGTGAACGAAGAATGTTGAATATTATTAACGAACAGTTATTTTGTTGGTTTGATTGTGCTGCCGCTGAGTGGAGTGGATGCATGCATGCATGCATGATGATCAGTTATTCGAATCGAATTGTTGATTTTCATTTATCTGAATTTGCAATCAAAAATAATAACTACATCAAATCTTCCGAATATTTTCTGTTCGATTCGTTGTGTTCCATTGTATGGTTTATCTCAATAATTCACCATTATTCTCTCGATTTTTACGAACAACTTTTCTTTTCGTCACCTCAATTAGACCTTCATTCGCACTCTCTCGAATTCATTCAGTAAATGCTTATAATCGAGCTGTGCTCATTTTTGCGATTGCCAACTATTTCTCGCGCTTAGCTCGGTATTTTTCCATTGCATCCCTCTCAGTCTTGGGTCGGTTGTTTGGATTCATGGAATATTGTTACGTCAGTTTTGAAATAGAACCATTTTTCCAATAATATCTCTACTAGACGCCCTCCTTTCGACGTCTACGCATAGACATTATTAGTTCGGGTGGTATTCTTGCTCTTGTAGGTGGTGCTTCTTCAGACAGCATCTTCTTAGATATCTGACTGAGTAATATCCTATTTGAGAATACCAGTAGAGTTGGTATTTGCTGACAATTTTCATATAATTGCAATCATTTAAGTGTATCCCCGTTGTTTTCATTGAGCCTATCCTTTGAGTGTATGCCTATTCTATCCCTCTTTATGATTCATTCCAATCGTTGTTCGTTTAGTGTTGATCAAAATCTATTAAATCTGTCAAATGCGCATTAGTCATTCAGCTTATTCAATAACATACCACCACATCGTTTGATATTGATAAGTTTTTAAATTGTTTTTTATTCATTCGACTTTAGCCCGTTATACTGTAACGAAAATGATCAACGTAAGAGATTTGACATCGAAAAAACCTCAGATCGTCGCCTTTTTTTGCGGTGCACTCTGAATCAGGCTATTTCGATCAGGCGATTCAAAATGAAGATTTGGGCCGTTCTTTCGTCTGGCGCCATATGATGTGTGTACATAATCCATTTACAGAGCAACGCAAGTTATTAAATGCAAGATGATAAGATTTATATAATACGTTACGATGATAACGATTATGCTAACATCTAAATACGTAGCTTATGAAGTATTCTGAATGAAATAGAATAATTTCTATTTACATTATTCAGAGGGAGCTTTTATCGTCATTATCGTAGTTCCATAGTGACATTCTTTTCAAAATCCCTTCGACCGTTGTGGTCAATTGCAGAACTTAATTTACGAAACGTTTACTTAACTGTTTAATTATTCGACCGATTGTTGCGAAGCATTTGATCATCCCGAGTTTGAAATGCATCAGTTCGAAAGAGCACCATGATTTGTACCTAAAAATTCATGTTCGTTTCACCATTCGAGCTGGAAATGAACACGATTTCCATTTAATGAACCGAAAAAATCATCTCTAACGAAGACAATGATCGTTGCTTGTAACGATTCATATTCAGACATCTGCTGAATTTATATTATAACTGCCTCATGTCCCTCACTTACGCCTTTCGCACATTCTCTTCCAAACTTCATCACTCACAGTATGTTGAGTTGATCAGTCGCTCAACTGAAATGCCAACGATTCAATGCGTCACCATCATTGGATAAAAACAGCGTTCTTAATCATATCACTAAAAAATTTCTCAAATAATTACTTTTTAAGATATGAATTCCTTAAGAAATCACAATTTGTTGACAGGAAGTTGTGGGTAATTCGTTCAGTATTTGGGGTTTATGGCGCATATGGCGCCGTTCAGATACATCGCCCACAAAACCCGACACTCAGCATGCAACTAATCTGAATTACACACTTGAACCGCAATGACATAATTTCCTTCCATTTTTTCATTTAATTCAGCAGCTAATCAACAGATTCTTGCTTAAAAATTGTGAGTCATTGATATATCACGATATGGAATTCATGATCATCTGGTTTAAAACATTAAGTGAAAGTTGTACATCTTTGTGACTTTTTGGCTGATGCGTTCTGTAAAATATCTTTTTTTTCTAACGTTGAAGGCAGTAACAATACGATATCCTGCAGAAGAGATGATCCTATATATGATACGATAATCCTATAAAAGAGAGGAATTTATGGAACTTTACTTTAAAAAGGAGCAGTAACTTATTCTTACAGTTCGACTTACATCTGATTCTTTCTTTCACGATTTTCTCCGCATTTGCAAGAGATGATTCAAGTCTTCCCCGGCTCCATTTTGAAATGTCTGTCTATCTATCATTAGGAACCTACCGAATAGGTGCTACGATAGGCTTCGATTGGGGTAATGTCATAAAGCAAACAATTCCTTGATTCAGTGGTAACAAACTTTTGATATATGGTCTCATCATGTTTGCAAAATGCAGTACTGAAATCGTTATTTCTCCTTTCACCTCTTTCGAATATTTTGATTTTTTACTGTAAAAATTTGTTGAAAAACGATCTGATTTTTATTTCAGACTGAAAAAAAAACTCATAATCAATGAATATAAAATCATATCTAAGGGAAAAACTTGGAATCAGAGAGAAAAAAGCAAGTTTTTTCACGGGAATGCACTTCAGGACCGATGATCTTTGGTTAGAGCTGGACGACGAAGACTTGGATTGTGAGTCACCCTCGTCAGAGCACGAGCCACCGCGATTGCATCAATCCGTCGATTCGTATCGTCCTCGTAAACCCGCAATAGCCCTACCACCACCTCCACCCCGCTCTGCACCTCCAATCGGAGGTGCACCTCCACATTCCATTTGTGGTAGCACACTCGAACCTTTCGTCAGTCCTACTGCTGATACGAGCAGCACCACAATAGCACTAACCACGATAATCAGTTCCACTCATCAAAACTCAACGATAACCTCGCCAATCACCACCACCACAACAACCGCTCAACAGTCCAACCAATCAGCACCCAATAACAGCAATCAATCCAATCGGTCCTCAGCACCTGCACCAATTCGAAGTACCACAAGTACTTCAAGTGTTGGCAGTACGTTACCGAATGGTGTTTGCAAACAGTCTGAAACGCTTTCAAACGATTGTTGTTCGAATGTTAACGAACAACAACGTTCGTCTACGTTTGCACCATCAAACTTAAGACTCGAGGAACTCGAACTGAAGCGTTTCAGTCATGTTACGGCGATTCATGACGCTGATGTGAGTTAAAATTTTGATCGTTTCATCCATTAGATAGCTGCTACTTGATTAGCTTATTCAGCATGGTCATAATTGATATCCGAATCATCATTCACCATTTATCGCTGATCATTATCTTACCATTTTCGTTCAATATATCATTTTAGAGTCCAGCCGGAGAGATGCGTTTGCAGCAATCTTTATCCACACCATGTCCAAGTGGTAGTATGGAACCATCCACATCTCGCAAGGTTTTTTTCAATTCACTCTTTTTTTGTCATTCGTCTTGCTCATTCATTGCTGTCTCACCCTTTCTTAGTTTCTCAATGTCCTTAGAAAAGGAAAACCCGCCCTCCTTATGTTAGTATCCTTTCTGTCTTGTAAGATTACTGTATTTCAAGTTTGCTTCATAATAACAGCTGTAGAATATCCTCTCTAATGAAGATATTATATTACACGTACATTTATTGGTGACCGTACTCTGCGTTGTTTACCTTTGAAGACTTCATCTACCAATCAGCGATGTCCATTTGTCACAATTATGTGTTACAGTATGATTTGAGATTGAGCGCAGTTCATGGTCATTCTATTCTTTATTGTTAATTTTATGTAATGTCGATTATGATATCAGCATGAATAATGATAGCGGTAATAATAATTTTAGACATTGTAATAATACTAATAATAACACTAATGATTTTAATTATAATACTAGTAATAGAAGTGATACTGGTAGCAGTTGAGAGTTAATTTGAACATCGACGGCACGATAAGATTGTCCATTCACATCATGAGAATTATCCAAAATTAACTCCATCTTAACAGAATCAATAGTTTCAAGATGACTGTATTGTTATTCTGTTTACAATTTCATGCTAAAAATGTAAACAATTTTGGAGGAAAACTATGTACTTGTTGCAACTTTCTGCAACACCGAAATTATCTCAAATATTGACAGATGCTAATGTCCATCATCCCTATGTATCACCCTTTAATGTCACTTCATTTCCTGGCCGTATCAGTAAACAAGCTGCGAAAAATCACACTTGCTGATTAATGCTTGCATATTCTATGGCTTCTTTCATTCAGATCGTCTTCCATCTCAATTTCATTCATTATATTAAAATGCTCGATCGAGTTCAATGGTTTTGCATTTATCATTAATATTACTATTGAAGTTAAAAGAATTACCTTGAGATGGTTCGACCGATCCATCGGTCGAACCATCTCAAGGTAATTCTTTTAATTCATTATTAATATGCGCATAAACCCATACATTTATCATTAAATTCACTATTCCACGGGATGCAATATGTTATTAGCATTATTATTTGCATGTACGTTATATGATATACATATGTACGAAGAGTTATTTGCAAGTGACCTTTTGTGAAAATTACTCAACTAAAATAACGAACATTTAATGACGATGTTTGATCAGTTATTTTAATGATAACCTTTGTTCGAATCACCTCCTCAATTAGTCGATATGTTCAGCTATTTTTCATTATTCAGAGGAAATCAACACACTGCCTATCTTTTTATAACACAACATTCTGTAACGAATTCGGTATTGGAATAAAATATCTGATATGTCTAGATATGAATATATTCTCACAGCAGATAGGATGCTTCTGAGATGTACCATTACATGCCGAAGAATGCCTTCAGGATTCGGAATATCGTCGTTTCAAGAGTGAAGGATCATCAGCTGGGGCGTGCTCCCTACCAGCACCAGAGATGGATGTGACCATCGATGACCTATCGCCTATCGCTGATCCACGCTCTTCACCTCCGGGTCGACTCAACTTATTTCAGGTTTGTTGCAATCGCTATTTTAAATGTCAGAATTATGTTGTTTGCGAAAAATTATTCTTCATTTGTGTTGATTCCTTCGGTCTTACTAATAATCATATGCAGTGCTCAGGTAATGCTGACCATATTCGATACTATTCGTTCTCACCGCTTTTCGTTGCAAAATTGAACTCATTCTGTCATTCTGTTGCAGAATTGCGAATGCAAGCATGTTGAAATTGAATATTCCATTCACCTTATGAAATTTTGGCCATGAAAATGAATATTCTCACATGATGGTCAGCATTTCATTTCCCACGGATCCTTTTTGTGTGCTTACTGATAAGCATTGATTAGAGAAAGGAATCAAAAAAATATTTTTGGTAT